CCCCTCCCTCTGCCCCACCCAGAGCCACACTCCCCTCCCCCACCCAGACCTGCACCCAGTGAACCCTGCACCCCCTCCCTTGACTCAGCTCCCACCACCCATAGCATCCCCACCCAGACCACACTCTCCTTGCATCAGCTGGACAGGTAAAGCCACCTGCTGACAGGATAGCACAGATCAAAGTCTCCGAATGAACCGGTCCTATTCCTGGCCCAGCACAGGGGCTCAGGGAGCAGACCACCCAAGTGGGTGGCAGAGAGCCCTTGTAAGCCAGATTGCGGCAATGGGGAAGGGGTGGGAGGATGTGCAGATAGCAAAGGCCCCTCCACCTCAGAGTCCCCCGCAAACCCCTCTGTCCACCAATACCAAAGCAGTCCACTTGCCTGGGGCTACCTGCCTGGCCCGGGCAGCACACAGCCTGCCCCCGGCTCAGATCCACTTGGCTCTGTCCCCCACGCTCCTGGCCTTGGGCATGGGGCACCTTCTGCAGGAAGCACCTCCAAGCCCCTGACCTGGTCTGCTCACCTGACCCTCCTCGGGAGGGGAGCCCACACTGCAGACACCAACCACATCAGGTACCCACTCCTTCCACAGCATCTCCAGTGACCTGCCCAATGCCTCACTGCTGGTAAATGTCCAAATCCTGGGCTGTCTCCTCTCCCACACCTGCCTCACGTTCCTTCAGATGTGCACACACTCCAATGGAGACCCAGCTGCAGGTGGGGGCTGAGTCTCTACCTAGACAGTCCCCAGGGCAAGGTGGGTACCATCAAACCTCGGGAAGATGGACAGACGGACAGAGCACAGAGCCCAGGAAGCAAGCACACCACTGAGGCCCTTGTGCAGGAAAGCCCCGCCCCTTGAAGATCGGGCCACATGTGGGACCCCTGTTCCCAAGGAATCCATCGCATCCAGACCTACGGCCCCCCGCCCTCCAGGCAGGTGCTACGAGAGCAAGACAAGGCCCCTCCACCCTTCTCAGCCTTGCTCCTCCTGGAGGCCTCTGGCTTGCATCAGGAGAGACATCCGGCGGGACCCCAGCCACCCAGGCCCAGCTGCCAGAGGCCCAGCAGAGCAAACAGGAGCCGCTTGGGAGGCACGGGCGCAGGCCGGCTCGGGAGGCAGCCCCGTCGATTGCTCATCCCTGCCCAGAGAGGTGCTCAGTCACCATCCTGTGGGACAGCATTAAGGATGCGAGGCCAGGGGCCACGCCCACAGCCACACCCCGACAGTGCCCGGCCACCATACTAGGTGTCACAGCCAGCAGGAGCCTGTCTGGGCCCTCACCAGCAATGGAGGGCTCAGCCACGCCTGCAGTGCTGGACCCCACAACGCTGGAGCGTCACTTTCAGGCCCTCACCACGGCCCCACTGATTTCCAACAGCTTCTGGAAGGCAAGGACCATGAAGATCTGCACCCTGACCCCCCTCGGGGCCCAGCGGAGGTGCCCAAGGGAGGCATGCCACCCAGAATAGGGGCACCCTGACTGCCCACGGGCCCACCTGGACTCGAGCAGTCAGCAACACGCACCTGGCCCAGCCGGGCAGACAAGCCAGGCTTCCGATGGTAGGCGGGAGTCCCTGCCTCTAGACAGCACCCACGTCAACACCCCCGGGGCAGGCCTAGGCCCTCAGCGTCATGTTTGCTAACCATCCAGGAAACCACGGAGCAAGGAATCCAGACGTGAGATAAACCCTCGGCGGAGGGGCTGCTTTAGCAACCGGCAGAGGCGCCCGAGATGTCAGTAGGCGTGGCAGCAGGCCAGGGGCTCACAATGCGCAGGCATGAACCCCGGGCCAGTCTCTGCCTCTGTCCAGCTGGGCAGGGCCGGACCCCACAAGGGCTGGGTTCCCACGGTGCCCCAGGGAACAGCCCCCACCCCACCCCCATCAGAGGGAGGGGGTCCGGAGCCTGAGGGGGACAGCCCCACCCCCATCAGAGGGAGGGGGTCCGGAGCCTGAGGGGACAGTCCCCACCCCACCCCCATCAGAGGGAGGGGGTCCGGAGCCTGAGGGGACAGCCCCCACCCCACCCCCATCAGAGGGAGGGGGTCCGGAGCCTG